TGTGGGGGTGATATGCTGACTCTGTAAACCGCTTAGAGAGGGCTGAAAGCCCTATGAAGCGGTATATAAGTCTAATAAATAAGTAAATAATCTTCTCAGCTGTCCTTTCCACTCTCTTTGTTCCAACAATGAGATTTTCAGCAAGGAAGCAGCCATCTTTCTGGGTGGTTCTCGACTTACAACAGTTCATTTAGTGACTATTCAAAGTTATGACACTGAAAAAGGTGACATGACCGTTTTTTACAGTTATGACTGTTGCCGCATTCCCACAGTGGTTGTTTCAACAATCCCCACGTGTGATCAAAATCCAGACCCTTGGCAACTGACTCATATTTATGACCGTTGCAGTGCCCCAGAGTCATGTGACCCCCCTTTGGCAATTTCTTCTCACAAGCAAAGTCAATGGGGAAGCCAGATTCACTTAGTGACCCTGCTACTAATTTAACTGCAGTGATTCACTTAACAACTGTGGCAGGAAAAGTCATAAAATGGGGGCAAAATTCACTTAACAAATGACTCACTTAGCAGCAGAAATTTTGGACTCAGTTGTGGTTTAAGTCAAGGACTATCCATAAAATTTTAGTAAGGGGTTTGGGGAACTCTGCAGATTTCATTGAGAAACGTCTCAGAAACTCTTATAATGGGTTGTGACATCTAACGGAAAATGGAATTCAGGACCTAGAGAGCCTCAGATCTCTCATTTGAGAGGGGAGGGAAAAATGGATCTGGGATTTTTATTGGCTTATAGAAGTAAAATTCAACAGGCCATAAAATGTGCACATCAGGCAGGAACTTCTTTGGATCCTCTATGACAGCCCCCCTTTTTCCCCAGACCTGAATCATATGGTTTGGGTCCATTAAAACCTTCTTTCCAAGCAACTTCCATGAATCCAGTGTCTTTTTCCCCACTTGGAACTGAACCCAGAAGGGCATTTCTTCCAACACATGCTACACAAATAAGAGAAAGCATATTAATTTGACATATACGGTAGTTGGAAGGATATGGGTATCAATGGCTGCAGAATTGACAACATCCTTTGGTAAATCCCACGGCAGGAAAGATGATGCTTCAAGAAAGTATTCAAGAAAGTAAGACAGGAAGGACAACTCTATCCTGAGATGGCTCTTCAGTTAAGAACCGGCTTTCTTAGTAATCCAGTTACACTTTAAGCAATCACTATGTACAAGTACGTTAAGGACAGTTGTGGCATCTTCCTGTCCCTTACACATTATATTAAGAAAGCGGATAACATTTCTGAAGCAAAACAAATCAAGATGCAAAATTTACAGAAAACTAGTCATAAGGAAGTAGTTGTCACCATGCTTAGAAATCCTTTAAACCATTTTACCAGGCTGTAGATAAGGATTTTTGTTAGAACGTAACTTATGTAAGGATATTTGATAACATAACAGGAGCATCAACGAGCAAAATGAAGTGTAAACAATACACAAAGGATATGTTTGCAAAGGGCTGGGGCAGAGGTGGGTTCCTACCAGTTNATAAAAGCACGTTTAAATAATTGCTATTAAATGAGAATTGGGGTACAGTGATAGTAAAATACATTTTAAAAATTTTGATTTAAAATATTCAATTCAATTTGAATGAAGTATATGTAATGATTGTGGAAGAAACACACCAAATGTATTTGTAACCAATCAACACGCTTTCTACAAGTTGTAATGAAGGATGATTCTTTTTTTGTGTTTTTGTTTAATTAAAATAATAAAACTTTTTTTAAAAAAAGAAGAAGAAAGAAAGAAATAGTACCAGGACCAGTCCAGGTGGTGCCTTCAGTTCACAGCCGCATCAACAGTTATTTTCAAGACAAACCCTGACAACGTCATTTATTTTTAGAGCCAAGAATAGGATGTTCCATCAGCAGAAGGTTCTGTGCCTAAATGTCTAGTTCTAATTGTTACTGTCGAGCACAAACCTACAATTCTTCATTAACACCCCTTTAGGAGCAAAAATGGTGCAAGGTCTGAGAGCAGGCATGGTATTCACTTACCTTCCATACCGGTTTGCAAATGTGAGCGTGCATGCTTGCTTCTCTCATACGCGCCCTGTCCACGCATGCGCTCAGCCTTCCACACATGCACTTTGGCTAAAACAAGTGTCTAAATGGGAATGCATAGAGCCGGGGTGGGTGGGCAGGACCAGCCGTGATTTTCACTAACCGGTTCAGGCGAACCGATCCAAACCGGCAGAACACCACCTCTATCTGAGGGACCAAAACGTATCAGGAGACATTGGAGGAACTGAAGATGTACAGCCTGGAGAACAGAAGCGAAAGAGGGGACTTGATCATCATCATCTTCATTTAACGACCCCATAATTCTTTGAGGGTTGGAGTCTGGGCAACTGAATGGAACTAGCAGAGTGTTTTAAGGGCTGTATGCAGAGGTGGTATTCAGCAGGTTCTGACCAGTTCTGGAGAAATTTTGAGAAGTTTGGAGAACCAGTAAAAATAATCTCTGACTGGCCCCGCCCCCATCTATTCTCTGCCTCCCGAGTGCCAGCTGATTGGGAGGGAACGGGGATTTTGCAGTATCCTTCCCCTGCCATGCCCACCAAGCCACGCCAACAGAACCGGTAGTAAAAAAAAATGAATCCCATCACTGACTGGCCGCCCTTCCTGTCGTTTTGTTCAGCAAATATATTCTCAGTGTGCCCAGAGATAAATATCTGCCTCTACCTAGGATCAAACTCATAGCCTCCTGATTGCAAGGCAAGAGCTCCACCTCTAGGCCACCACACCACTCCTAAAGAGAGGACTATTGAAACCTTACTAAATATACAGTTGCCTTCTGAGAAAGCACCTTTGGAGGATTTAATCAAAACACACTTCAAGGCTCTTCTTTGAGCAAGCCAATGGAGAAAAAAATTGGAACTATCTTATTTCTTTTTCAATTTCTAGGAAAACGTGGAAGGCGCAAGGTGTGATCAGTGCCATTTGGGGACATTCTCCCTCGATGCCAGCAATCCTAAAGGCTGCACCAAGTGTTTCTGTTTTGGGGCAACCGATCGGTGCCACAGTGCCGAGAAGTACCGTGTGGAGGTAAATGAGTAGGTGAAGATCTAGGGGAGATCGTCCTGGAAAAGAAAGATAAAAGAACCTCAGATTTAACATATAAAAGAAGGTTAAGAGTTGAAAGCCAAGAAAATCAAGGAAGGAAACTGCTACACATTTTCTGTTGTTGTCTGTAGGTAGCATTCTGTTTAAAGTGTTTAACAATGCTATTACTATTTCAAAGAATACTGTCAATGAAACCTCATAGATTTTGCAGCAACCTGTTCAATGTAATAGAAAAGGCACAGTGACCTAGTGGTTAAGGCGCTGGACTCGTTTGACTGGAAGGTTGGCAGTGTAAGATCCAAGGAGTGCATGATGGAGTGAGCTCCCATTCCTGCCCCAGCTCCTGCCAACCTAGCAGTTCAAAAGCATACAAAATGCAAGTAGATAAATAGGTACCACTTCAGTGGTAAGGTAACAGCTCTCTGTGCACTTGGGTGTAATAATCCTGCCGGTCACATGACCACGGAAATGTCTTTGTGTCAACACTAGCTCTTTTGGCTAAGAAACATGGGTGAACACCGCCATCTAGAATCGGACACGACTGGACAGGGGAAACATTACCTTTTTATTCAGTGAAATATTACTGAGCATCAATTCATAACAACCGTTCATAGTCAGCCTGTCTGCCCATCTGTGTCTCCATTTTCTCCATCCACATCTTGGTCTTGAGAGACCTGGGCCATTCTCTTGCACAGGGGGGTCAAACTCAAGGCCTGGGAGCTGGATCCATTCCACGGGATAGTTAGATCTGGCTGGCAGGGCCGCCCTGGAAACAGCAAAGGACTGGCCCGCGGTGTTTCTGCCAGAGAAAATGGGCTCCCGCAAGCGACCCTCCCGAGCTCCATTTTCACTGGCAGAGAGTTGCAGGAGGCCGTGGAAGCCAAAAACATAGCTCGGGAGCCCGTTTTCTCTGGGAGGACACTCCACAGGCACCCACGGCAGGAGTGACGTTGAGCTCGCCATGCCCACCCTGGCCACACACACACACACACACACACACACACACACACACACACAGAGGTCAAGCGGAACCCTGACGCGGCCCTCAATGAAATCTAGTTTGACACCCCTGCTCTTGCACATCAAGAGATGATCACAGGATTAATGTTGACATGGAGAAGAACCTCAACTGTCCTATTTTAGATGGAATGCCTCAAAAGCCTTAAAAGCTTCTGAGCCCTTCAGCAAGCCTGCATTTACTGATCAAGACCTGTGTCTTCTAGTTCACTGACATGAGTGGGTGGACTTTGCTGAGTGGAGACCGACAGGGAGCTTCCACATCAGTCAGTTTGGAAGATGAGACTGTTCACGCTGATCTTCGGCAGTTTCCAGATGCTTTCCAGGAACTTTACTGGCATGCCCCCAGTTCCTATCTTGGAGATCAGGTAAGTGATGATGGCCGATAATACAATATTTTTGCCATAATATCCCGGTATCTTAATGCTCAAAAGCCGAATTCTAATATTTGAAATGATATTTAAATTCCTCAGAATCATAAATTTTTCTTCTGGGTCAACTTATATGATCAAGAACCAGCTACATAAAACTTTGGGGTTGTTGTTTATTTCTTTAAAAAGTTTTTTTTAATGTATTAATATTGTTACTATGAGATTTTATTAAATTTAGTACGACGTCGCATGTCGCATCGAATCACGTTGCAAGTGGGTGGCTAGATTCGTTGAAAAAATGGACAAATGCTGGATTTTACTTCTGAAGGGCATAAAAATCCATATCTTAAACTTTTGCGTTTCACTAGATTTTTTGTGATTTTAAAATACTCTGCTTTTCAACTTAATTGAAATTGAAATTTGAAATTTGAAATTTAATAGAATTTGTATGCCGCCCAATCCCGTGGGACTCTGGGCGGCTTACAGAGCAAGATAAAAACATTTAAAATTTAAGAATAAAAATACAGTTGTTAAAATTACACACCATCTATTTAAGTGGGGCTGGACATTAATCAACAGCCCCAGGCCTGCCGGAACAGCCAGGTTTTGGTGGCTTTTCGGAAGGCCG